GCAGCAACCGAAATAGTCACCCACACCGGAAACAAAACAGTCCGAGAATTGATTGAAGCCTGGGCCTCAGATGAGAACTCAGTCAATCGAGTTATCGATCTGGCGCCGGCGTACAGAGCCCTGCGCAGTCACCTCCAGTCTTGCTCCGTCGGTCGATGAGTGGCCTGCATGCCCTATAACGGTCGCTTTCTCTGTTGCTGCTATTACCTCTGCACGATTCTGAAAGCTCAGGACAATAAACGAAGTGATCCGGTGCTCGACCCTTCTTCTTTACTTATGCATACACCTGGAATTCGAAATTTCGCCTTCATTCAACTGCAACCGTGCTGTTCGTATCGATCGCACCCCAAGAGACGCCATCTTGTGCGCAGCTGAGTTGAATCATGCCAACGCCGGCAGGCAACAGTTATCTCACACGCGCCGACCAGCTCGCCTGTTACCCCACACACCCCCTCTCCCCCCTATTCAACTTACGGGCAACCCATCACACGCTCCAACACACAGGTGACTCAGTCAATCAGTCGGGCTTGTTGACACAGACGCACGCACCTCAACTCACGCACTTTCGGACGGACACCTGTTAGGTCTTACACACAATCGAAGTGCCAACTCGCGCCAACCCGATTTGTGTGCAGAATGCACTTGGCAACTCGCAGCACTGTTTCGGGCGTCCTGGTCATGTGAGCAGATGACCTTGACGTTCAAATGCTAAATTGACAGTTTGGCTGTCGTTGCCGACGATGTCCACAATGAGCTCCACAGCAAGGCGAGCGGGGGCACACTGACTTGTGCGTGAATTAGTTTATGGTGGCCGCAGACTTGCACAGCATTTACCGCGCCCTTCACCCCTTGGACGCCTAATCCCGATATGAAGACGTAGCCAAGAAGACCGATGGTGGGGGAGGACGCAGGTGGCAGACATAGTCGGGCCCGCACCTAGTAATACCACCCCCCTTGTTGCTTTTTAACTTCCCCAGAAATTAACTGCGAACTTCCAGTAGGCCAGTATATTCTAGTTCTATAGGCTCACAGCGAGAATGTTATGTATGGATGTTGGGGCCGAAATTGATCACCTACAGCCGCGTAGTATTCATTAACTGTTGACAGACAGCTAGTAGTATATATTAGGGTGAGGCGCTACCATACTTACAGCATAGGTACCAGCCAAAATCGCATACACGGGGGTTTCACCGATATTCAGCCGCTGCATGACACAGCTGCGAGGGAGTCGGCTCATCAGTGGGTCCCCTGGTGTCAAGACTAAGTCAACAAGACCGAAGACGTGGAGGACGCTGGCGGATGGCGCGGCCGGACCCGCACCCAGGCGCTCCAATTCACCCCCCCTGATCCACAACCAACACTTGACCAGGATTTTGATTAACAGTAGCAACAGAAAAGACATTGGTGACTGGACAGTCATGCACCCTGCCTGTATACCTAGCAGGGGCGCCTGCACATCTGCTGTGAGAAACCAGACACCAGAAGATTGGCAGAGCACACCAGGATGAGAGGACCATGGCTTGTTGAATCATGGCCTAGCAGATGCGCACAATTTTGAGGGCTCAGAAGGCCCTAAATTTAGCTTGGGCTGTCTCCTCGCAAAGGCTGGGTAACCAGTCAGTAGGTCATGTTAAGAAGGGGCCGTTGTAGCCTGACTTACGGCCCATCGCTCTACCCTCTCAACACAACTGGGCAGACTGCGTAGACTGAGTTGAGGCGTCAGTTGGCAGCCATCCAAACCACAGCGCTTGGTGCCCCATAATGGTCTCAGGTTGGGATCACACATGCAGCAGAGGATCCACATGGAGAAGGAGGCGAGAAGAACACTTCCCACTTAAGTGAGAGGTGTCAATGGAGTGCTTGCCTTGTGTAGCGATGGGTTCAGTTCAGTTCAGTTTATTTGAGGGAAATATAGGCGCTGAACCTGTGAACTCCCTATTTGTTACAAGGAACGAACTATATCAAAAATCTGAAAATGGAAACATCAAACAGCTACAGAGTTTCCTCAGATTGGCAAAGTTTTCGAAATCAGACAGATAGACGAATTGTTCCGAGAGTTAAAAACATTAACGTTACTAAATGTGCTGTACAGTAGTCTGTCTACGGATAGTTGGTGCTATCTCAGTTTCTAAAGGGAGATGAATTAAATGCCGACGCACATTCAAAAGACATGGGACAATAATAAAAAGCAAACGTTACTGAAATACAGGCAGTAATATAACAACATTAATAAACTGTTCGAACGAAATGCTAGGTGGCATTATGACGTTGGTGGTACACTGGTCCAACTTGCGCTTAAAAGCCTCGACGGAGGTGGACATGACGACATCTGCGGGCAGAGCATCCCAAGACTCGATCACTCTGTTTGAAAAGAGGAACTTCCGAATGTCCAGCTTGGCGCCAGTCACACGTAGTTTAAGTGGATGAACTCGGAGGTTCGTTGTGGTTGCTAACTCAAAGAAATCAGCAGGTGAGTAACAACAGTCCTGGCCATGAATTATACGGAATGTTTCTATAAGGTCGCCTCTTAGCGGTCTGTAACTCAGTGGAAAAAGGCCGAGATTGGACAATCGTGTTTCATAGAGTAGTGAGCCCTGTCCACTTATGAGTTTGGATGCCCGCCTTCGAACTTTCTCAAGGATGCTGAGATCTTTAGAGGTGCAGGCTTTTTACGCCTGAATAGCGAATTCTAGCTGTGGCCGCACGAAAGTCCGAAAGACTTTAACGAAGCAGTCCTCATCGAAGGTAGAGAAAGCTCTCTCGACAAGATAAAGTACTGACATCGCGGACTTGGCTACCTTGGAGCAGTAGAGCGACGGTTTTAAAGAAGCCGTTACCCACACACTCAAGTCTTACTGGGCCTCTACCTCCTGCAATGATACGCCATTTAGGTAGTAAATGAGATGGGGCCCTGCCGACTCGCACTTTGTCACATTAAACTGCAAAGGCCAGTCCCGTGACCATTTCTAGCGTTGGGCCAGGTCTGCCTGCAAGCGCTCTTCGTCAAATTTGGGTGATGTTGATGTGTGGTACATGTGCTGTTGGGTGAAGGTATGATGGTGTGGCGTAGCCGGCGGTTGTTTACTGCGGATGTTCATGGACGCGCATGTGACCTAATAGACCTATGCGGCTCATGAATGTGCGAGTGCAATGTGGGCAATGGAGACGGGTGCGGCGAGTGAAGGTTGGTGCTCCAGGCAATGGTTCGCCAATCTCTGTCTGACGGGTTCTCACTTAACGGGACAGACCTGTGCGTGGGGTGAATGTATGGGGACAGTGTGGACATGAGAATTCGGCGGTGCCATTATCAGCTCCGGTTATGGAGGTGGTAGAACTGGTGGCGGTGGGCGCGCCGATATGTAGGGCGTGGGCGTGGTGGGTTTGCTGAATGTGTTAGGTGTGTTGAGGCTGCGGTTAATTCCGCTCTCGTGGATACACGTGCAGTGGCTACATGTACGAGGACAGTAAGGGCAGTTGAGGCGAACAAGTATGAACCAAGTGGTGGTGGGGGATGGTGATTGTAGCAGGTGATTGGACGCCGGACGCCATCCCATTGGTGGGGTGAGAGTGTGAGATACCGTGGTGTTGATGCAGTTGATCGCTGTGGTGGACGCAGGGGAGGGGGTAGGACGGATGATGTCGGTAACTAATGACAGCGGGGCAACGAAAATGTGGTCACGAGTGACAGGGGTGGCCGTCGACGCGGGGTTTGCGACAGGGGCGGAAGTGGGAGGAGGGGTTGACGTTGTGGGGTTGTTGCGCATTGCGTCCAAAGGTGTCCAAGAAGACAGATTCGCGCGCGGAATGTGCGTTGCCAACGCTGGCATGTTGGAAGCGACTGACTGTTGGTATTGAGGCTTCGAGGCACTTGTGACTAGTGAGCCTCCCTCTTGGGTTTGCTGGCGGCGATCCGATTTGCATCGTAGATGTCTGCACCGGTCTTCAACTCTCTTCTCCATGGCCGTTGGTTCTAGACGAGGTCGTCCTAGATCTTCAACATTCGCTCCAGAGAGTCCTTGTGACGTTGTTTTTGGTCTCCATGTCGCAGAGTGCCCATGGCGTGGTAGACGTATATCTGCCATCCTTACGAGATGACTGTCCCAACGCAACTGCAGCTGCCTTATCATGGCGGGAATGCTGAGGATTCCAGCCCACTCTAAAACTCCCATGGCGGAATTCTGTCTTGCCGTCTCATCTTAAGTAGTCTGCGATGGCAGGTGGGATGGATGTGGTCGAGCTTATTGGAATGGTTGGAGTCCAAGTTGGTTGGTCCAAGTCTCCGCTTCGCATAGAAGTGTCGTCAAGACGACAGCCTTGAACATCTTGAATTTGATACTGAGTAGGAGACCGTGACAATTCCAGACGACATTCTGTAGGTGACAGAAGGTTTGGCTGGCCTTGGAAATCCGGTTGGCTACTTCGCCATCGATTTTGGCATTGCGAAAGGGAGTGTTGACGATGCAGGTGAAACTGGCGACAACTTGTGTTTGGGTGCATTGTAGGGAGCGTTGGCTGGCGGTTCGTTCATGAACACCGTTTTGTCCGCGTTGATTGTCAGACCGAAGTTATCGTAGGCGGCGGCATCTGCGGAGAAGAGATCCCTGCTCCTCCGTATGTCATTTTCTGTTGTTACGTTGAAAACGCAATCTTCGGCGAAGAGTAGTCTGTGGACGGTAGTTGTGGATAGGCTGGAAGTGATTCGCCACTGAATGAGGAGGTGGCCGTCCGTCTTGTAGGCGACGCGGATCCCGAGCGCTGGTCACGGTAGGCGCTCGGTAGCACGACCGAAAACATGAGAGTGAAGAGGATGAGCGCGAGGACGCAACATCGCTCCACTTCTTAGGCGACTGCGAATGCCTCTGATACTGCTCCGCTGTCTGTGACGCTCGTCGCCATGCCATCGTGGAGCTGACGCATTATCTGAGTGAGTCGATTAGAACAGCCGAAGTTTTGCTGGATTTTCCCCACTCTGTCGCGATTCACCGCGTTGAAGGCTTTCGTCAAATCCCCGAAGGTAGAGTAAAGATAGATATGCCACTGAAGTGCCCAACCCAGCGCTCCAGAATTCGCGCCTTCTCAATGAGCAGGGCAGTTTCGTCGGCGCTGAGAAGTGGAGCGACGTCTTTGGCTGCTGGATCGTAGACAGTCTTGATCGCTGAGTAGTTCTTCCATTCGTTTCGGTCAGCATGCCCTTGGATCTTCTCAGCCTTGCAAGCCGTCCAGGCGTCCTGTATTTCCTGCAACCGCTGTTGCAGGAGGCGGCGACTGCGATAGAATTCTGCTTTGTTGTCGTAGATGGCGTTGGTTTTGTGCAAGCGGTTCTTCTCGCCGAGCAGAGTGCTGATGACGACGTCGTTATCGTCGAACCAGCCCTGGTGTTGTTGATTTGCAAGACCGAGAAAATCCAGGGTCGTTGACCAAACTGTGTCCCTCAGTTGCCTATCCTCTGGGGTAACTGGTCACAATCGATCGTCTGCCCGATCGCAAAACGGCTTACTACGCTTTGCTACCTACTGTATTTACCTCAGTAGGCATTTATTTGTTTGCTATTTCGGGGCCATAGGTTTTCTTGACATGCCTTGACCTCGTCGGTTCTCATCACACATGGACTCCTGTACCGGCTGGGCCCACACTGCCGGAGGTAGCCAGGCAAAGAAAGGGAAGACTGAGACAGCAGCCGTTTCATGGAGGCGTCCTCGCAGCTGAGAGAAACGTTGACTAGCTTCTCAGTCAGCTTGTTGCTGCAATTGAGATGGTGAGCAGGCACATCCATGAAAACGGTATTCAACTTACAGTTAGTGATGCAACTCATGAAATGTATCGAAATTAACGAATGATTGCCAATCACTCGCAAACTGACACCATTTAATGAGTCCGATGTCTATATTGAGTAAAAACAAGTTTTTTAGAATTAAAAACATAAAAGAAATATTGAAGGCAGTGTTGCGTTGTTTAGAAATGTCGATTTATTGTAAAAAGTGCAATAACCCGAAAACGCCAGAAATGGCTCTTATTTAGTAAACTTCGTTTTTATATGTATAGAATGTATTCTCATACCAAAAACGTAGTAAAAATGAAAGCAGAAATAAAATACCGTCTCAGAATAGTGGTTTGATAATGTTTACGACTAAATATCGTTTAATAATTTGTGTGATTTCATATATGACGGTTTGGCAACTGCGTACCTTCTTAGTGTAGATTCCAAAACAGTTTTCCAGGGATTCCTGTTATCCCTGACTCGTTTTAGTTTAATGAGATGGGATTCAACAAGAGAACTGGATTTTCCTTGATTTCACCGGTGGGGACGTCGTAGGAACAAACGTTTTCATAAGGCGACATGCTGTCAGGCCAGTCGGTGCCTAATAAATTTCAATGGAACTAACAGGCGTGATCGTAAATATACCATTTTGTGTTTATAAAGAGAACTTTCCTTCCCTTAAATTAATTTACACTTTTCCTTCGTTTTTTATTACGTCAAGTTTCAGATCGGCCTCGAAATGTTGCTGAATACTTCATGATTTTCAGTGTTTTCACCCGATCGTCCATAAAAACAGATCTTGAAATACCTGTCTGTTGAGAACTTTAAAATAAGATTATTCTTGAAAGCACATATCGAAAAAGTGAGTGTTCGGACGCTCCTTTTTACGAAAATGGTCGTTTGGGTCACATTTGATGACTAATTCAAACATCAAACTTCATTTTCGAGAAACAGGGCTGTCCACAGCGAAAGTCAGCAAGGAATATTCCTTTGATCAATGAGAAAACTTTCCTTTAAAATCTATCTCTTTAAACTTGTTTTGTTACTGCACTCCGTTGACGGATCTCTGTGAACTTTGTATTTTTGGACGGTGAGACCAAGTAAAAATTTGACACTTTTGGTCGTTTCGCTTATGTATCTAAACAATACTGTTTTTTTCTCTAATGCAACCGTAAGAACATGCCTTCCATTTCCACTATTTTATGCTCGCTTTTGGACCCTGTTCTTGGATTATGTTTGAACGGCAGAGCGTCCATATAAATACCGGTATTTTGCTGAAATTATTAATGCTTTCCTCATTCTATTTTTAAATAAGTATTCACAGAAACTAAACGATACGACAAGTGGTGTTTCATATGCTCAAAACTGGAAATGACCATTCGGTGGTGGTCATTTATGCGACGTCAGGTAAAATTTTCCAAACGGCAAAACAATGTTAGCCTATTTAAACGAAGGAATCCCTATCTGCGTTATTACTGAACTTTAACGCACCAAATCGCACAAAGCTGCTAATCTGACAGTTAGGAATTGATAAAATCTCTGGTTTTCTTAAAATAACCGTCGTGTTCGCAGGTTGATTGCCACGGTTAACATCGTACATAAAATGAATTTTCAAGTTCGGCTAAATTTGGTTGTTAAAACTCCCGCGGGTACATTACTATCCTTTCAATGAAATGTCGCTCAGATGCGTAACCGGAGTCTACGTCATGTATTATCATAGGAAATTGTACGAATATATTCCGACGTCCATTTTCGTTAAAATTTTGCTGATATTTTACTTGATATAATTACATAAACACAATTTCTGCACAAGAAAAGGACATTTTTTGAAGGCCGTTGATGAGAGAACAAAAGGCGCAACGTTAAAGACGCCCAAAAATTCTCGCATCAGCTTCCGTTATCAGATTTCATGGGATAGATCATGTACTGTACCTAATAATCACTTACCTTAGTATCTCCTGCAAGGCTGTAGGCGAATCCTCATCTTGGAGATGAAGAGGCAGTGGCCAGTTCACCCGTCAGTATCTAGGATCGACTTTATCACCGGCAGGTCCCGCTGGTCTCGCCTCCGGACGAGCACCTAATCCAGCGGGCGCCAGTGTCGCCACTGAGGGTTCATCCAGGTCGCCTTCTCCCCCACATCGGAAGGCGGAAGGTTTTAGTTAAGACGAGGCGGTGCTCCACGCAGCTTCGCAGAAGGAGCAGCCCCATAGCATTTAAGCCACCGAGACCACGGGGACCCAGCAATCCTCTCCAGGCAGCATGGTAAGTGCCGACGCGACCTTTAAGTTCCTCAGGAACAACAAACTTAGCCACCTTTGGCACAGTCGCCAGTTAAGCGTGCAGTTCCTTGTAGAGTTTGTTCCTTGCAGTGTCATGGCTGGTCATTGTAAGGGTAATATACATTTATTATGGTGGCGAATTCGCATCCCCGGAAAGGCAGGCGGACGCTCATCGCGCAGTCGTTGATGCCCTGTGTCAGACAGAACAGGCGTCCCAAGATGCCGCTCCGGATGGGAAAGGTGACGCCCGCCTCCGCCTTGGAGCGACCGCTCCAGAAGAAGGTGCCGTCAGTGTTCACCTCCTCCAATTGGCCCTGTTCGGAGAATCGAGTCTCGCTGAGTGCGACGATGCCCACCGCCGGTTCCCGAGCGGTTAGCGCCGTCCTTCGTTTTGGTCGGTTGCTCCTGAGATTGTCTAAAAGAGGACAAACATTCCAGGCTGCTGGAGTGAGCGGACTCACCCCAGCTGCCTGTTGAATGGAGCCGAGTGGAGGAAGAGGGGAAAGAGAGAGAGACTGTTGTTTGCCTTTTGTTGGTTTCAGTCTCAGGTATTGCAATCTGCGGGCCATGGTCTGCGCGCAGATATCGTGAACGTCAGCAATTGTTTAGGTCACCTTTCATGGCCCTCTTCCCCGCGAGGGGGCAATCACTGTCGTCCCCAAATAGGCTGCTTAGTTGTCCCAGACGGCTGTCGAACTTCACTGCCGGTCACGTATTGTTTTAAAGAGGAAACGACCTGATTGACCCAAGCCGCCTACTTGGTTGCATGTCGCCCCTGCTTTAGGACTTCTCGACCCTGGGGGAAGAGAGTAGTGTAAAGATGGTACGGTAGGGTATGTAGGGTGGTTGGTCGAACGCCCAACTTCTTATCTTATTTAGTTAGTTATGTTTCATAACGGCTTGCCTGGAAATAGATCGCGAAAAATTCATGTAGGAAGCGGATTTTAATCTCCAATAACTTTATAGATATTAAAATTGCCCGCCTGACTAAACAACCTGTGCCCTTTGAGCTCGGTTGGTTTACGTCCGTTGTGAGCTGTCTGCAATCTAGATGGCGGAGAAAGAAATAGCTCAATCTTACGGGCAGCCCAATATACAAGATTTTTATCTTCCTTGGAAGTCAACCGGATTTACTGACGCTGTCCCAGCCTCCTGACTTTTCCCATTGATGTTACCACTTCTGACACAGCACGTCTAGATTTTCTAACTATATCCTCCATCCAGGGTTTCTCTCCGGCTTTTTAGTTGCGAGCGAACACTACTTCTCCCTCCCGAAATTAGTGTTTTGTCGTTTTTTGGAACTCGAACCTCTGGTTGTAGGTACTGTAGTCATATATCCTGCTGTCGTCCCGAAAACCGCTCGGCTGATGTCTATAGGCAAAAAGGGGTGTGCTGAGACACTTCAGTTTAACAAAAGTGTTCCACAGCATTTTCATTGCTCTCTTGAACGTGCCAACGAAACGCTTTGCCTGACCATGCTATTGTGGATGGAATGGTGGTGACGTCACGTGTCGAGTCTCCGATTTCTGACGCAGTTGTTGGAAAGGTGATTACGTGGATTGAGTGCCGTTATCCGTCACAATCTGCGTTGGGATGCTGTATCTCGCCATTAATTCTCCTGTCTTCCCTTCCGTAATATCAGCAGTAGCTGCCGCAACGTCGAGAATGTCTAGCCACTTAGACCATGCATCGCAACCATTAAAAACAGTTGATTGAAAAACAGTCCCCTGAAGTCCATATGGACTCTACTCCAAGGTTCCGTCACCTCAGACCATGGCACGGGCGGCACTCTTGGCGGGTTCTTTGCCTTACGTCCACACGGGTAACAGCTTTGAACAAATGATTCGGCAACGGTATAGAGAAGGAGCCCACTTAACTGTCAGTAGACTGTGGATCATGCCATACGAGATTTATAGTAAAGGGAGTCTTATGGGTGGGGCAGCAAGCTAGACAGTGACCTGACAAAGTGAAAGAGAACACAGAAATTGCCTGGATTTACACCGAAAATCTTATCCTACGCTATTTTACGACAAGAGAAATTGGAGTAGTAATTAAACAATAAACAAAAAGTAAATTCCACAAAGTAACGGAACTTGAGTTAAGGTGTGAGGTCACGGGAAGCAACCAATGTCGGCAATGTAATTTCTGCAACGACCTGCTAATGCATGCCAAGATAAAACCTCATATGGCAAGATTCGCAGTCTACTGACAGTTAAGTGGGGTCCTTCTCTATACCGTTGCCAATGATTCCATGTTTTTATCAATTTCAGCCCACTATACGTACTTTCGGGCCAGTTCTTTCATGTGGGTCATGCCCGTATATCCGGCATGGAGTTCCTGTAAATCTAGTTGCTGATGTCGGTCTGGGATCACAGCCTTACCATCACACAGTATGCATTCATCCGTGATATCTAATTGTTCCTTTCTGTTCCTTTAGTGCTTTATCGATGGGTGAACTTGGTCGTCATGGAGCCAACCGTTCAGAATAAATCCTTTCACGTGGCGCGAGAGGGGTCTGCCGCAATGGTGGCCCCGGTGTGGTCGGCTGCGAGTGGCAACTGCCGGATGACACCTCTAAACCCGCTGGTGTATTTAAACCGACTTAGTGCTAATCGCATCTCACCCTGCAGGCAGGTCGTGGAAACAGCCTTATCTTTCTTGGGAAAAAGTCAGCCGTCCATACCTCGTCTATGTCATATCCTGATCGACAGACTGATACTTGAACCTCTTTGGCGATTATTCTCTGCGGCACCTTGTTCGGGGTTGGAAGTGTAGTTCCTTGTTTGAGCTAAGTTGTTACCGTTTATTCTACGAGTTGGCAGTGCGCATCACAGCTCTTCGGCGGTTTCTCGGTGATCTCCCGTCTAGGCTGGAAGTGATGAATTCCACACGGCCTTCTTGCAGTAGTGGGGGCGAAAGACCTATTCGGTCACATGCATATTTACGGGAGCGGAACTCACTCGTTCCCTTGTGCCTTAAGGGCTCTCTCTCAAGCCCAACCAGCAGCCGCACAGCGGCGCATGAGATATAGGCAGAATGATATTACCGACAAAGACAAGGGAGACTGGAATGGCCATTTCTGGCTTATTAGCCGTCGTCAGCCAGCCATACCCAAGCCCGAAGTGTGGAACACCCGAGGCTCGAACTCGCGCCCTGTTGGTTTTAGAAGTCCACGCCTCTACCCACCGGGCCACGAGCCCGTTGCCCGTTTATCATAAGTGTGGCTGTTAAAAGTGGAATACGGGCATAAGCAGCAGTCCAGTAGCTCACTCGCTTGCTTCCTTTTAAAAGTTTTTTCCTTATCGTCGCACTTTCGTTCCAGTAGGTCACTGATGACTCTCATGGTCAATTTCTTAGGGATGGCGGTAAACAAAGAGACGACGTCAAAGGATACCATGATCTAATCGGGGGCTATTGTTAAACCTCAAACGTTTTCCAGGAAATGCGTTAAGAAGGCCGCCGTGTCTTCGGAGCCTTCCATCGGCGTCTTTGAATGCTAGGTAAGCCGTTTAGCCAGTTCATAGGTAGGTGTGCCTTTCAGCCCATCCAAAATACGCTCTTGTTGATTTTGCTCACCTATGTTTTCATGGAGTCAGAGTCGATGACTCCGTATAACTAGTTGTCGTTTAGTAGTTCCTGGGATTTGTAACGTACTCTGATATGCCCAAGATCACGGTTGCTCGTCATTTGTTCGCTGCAACAATGACAATTCCTTCTTCCATCTTTACTTCCCCAATGTACTTTAATTCGGCCGAGATAGTTCGGCGTTGCTTGTGTGCTGTGCTGAAGGATGAGAGTCGCTGGCGAACGGAGTCCTTGAAGTCTTCTGTGGTATCCGTCATTCCTATCTACGATGATGGCTCGAGTGTGAGTATGAAACGTCAAATGCATAACGCATGATCCAATATACATATCTCTAAACAAACTTGAAAACAGGCATCCTAAGAATTACAATTCGGAAGAAATAAGGGCTAGATCGCAGTTGGTAGCCATGAACGGGAAGTGGACGGCGAACGTCACCCTATTCCTGACCTCAAACTCAACCCCAACCCTAACCTCAACCTTAAACGTTAACCGTTAATCCTATCGGCATCACTAATCTTAACCCAAACCGAAATCGTAAACGTAACCGAAGCCCTTAGACATAGCCGTAACCGAGACGCCTAACTGTAATACTGAAACCCATTCGTACGCTCAAATCATAACCGTAATCCCAAAACCTAAGCTTAAAGGCATAACCCTAAACCGAAAGTCGGAAACCATTAACCGGTATCCTAATCCTAACCTCAACCGTAAAACGGAAGCCAAATGCGACATATGTGGTTATGGAGCCCCCCAATACAGCCCCAGTAAACGAACCCCCCAGTCACCTGTAATACGGGTCCTGGCTACCAACTGCAATCTGGCCGAAATAAGTTCTTTGAGAAAAATAAACAAGTCCCGGATATGGGATCACCATCTCTGTTTTATTTCGCAGAAGTCACAATGCCGAAATTAGAGGATATCAGCTTACCACTAGTTAACCCCAAATTATGGGTGCGACATGTTTATGACACGTTTCTCATTGTTAAAATTGATCAACTGGAAATAATCCACAATATTATTAACTCGACACTTCCAGGAATCTGTTTTGCCCTCGAGAAAGAGGCTGACAACAAACTCCCGTTTCTTGATGTCCTCGTACCGAGAAAGGCCGACGGGACATTCCACACTTCGGTTTGCCGCAAGGAAACCTAGGCGGAAATCCTTTTACATTGCGATAGCAATAACCCAATCTCTCACAACCGAACCGCCTGAAACAGAATCATTAACCGATCAAGAACTTACTGCTCTGACATAGAAACCTATCAAACTGAACTAAATTATTTTTTCAAACGGTTTTGCCGGAATGGGCATCCTAGATATTTTTTTTGCACCGATGCATGAAACGACAGAAGTTAAAAGAAAAGGACAAGGAAGTATATTTTTCCGATCAGGCGCCCAAACTGAAAAAACTGGCGAAAACTTCCGCACATTAAGAATATATCCGAACTAGTTGAAAGACACCTGAAGGAGCACCAACTACGTGAGGCGCATAAGCCGACAACTACAATTCGAAACCAGCTTGTGCACCCTAAGTATAGGGGTGGCTATTTATATAAGAAGGAAGTAGTCTTTATGATACCATGCAACACCTGTAAAGCGGGCCACTGCGGTCAACCTACGAAATCGGCCTCTGCGCGAATACATGAAAATCAGATGGTCGTAAATAGGCCAGACCGCTTGTCCCAAGCTGCCATGCATACGCTGGAAACTGGACATAAATGCGCTTGGGACAGCACTAGCATCGTAGGTGTGTGCTCCTATAGGAATTGTCGTGAACGTTTAGAGGCCATCCATTATGTTAACTCATGCATCAACCGACACGTAGAATTGGATGCGGTGTACAGCAGCCTCAAAAAGAATTGGAAAAGGCATTGGCCAATCAGGACATTATGCCAGCAGGAGTGACAGGGCAAAATCGATTTTAGGCACGTTCAAATGTTAACTATTTTGCACACCTACTTCACGGTTGAAGGTGACTTGGGGAAGCAAGGTCAAAAATTTACAATTAGACTTCTTTGTCTTTCCCGAAGAACTTAATTCTTTCAAATATGCATATATATGCAGATATATAACTTTTGTTTGTCGTTATCTGGACCACATAATTGGACTTAGCTCGAAAATATGTATTGACATACTTATTTTAAATGCCCATATATGAATGAACCCGACATGTATAACTGCGAGATCGCAGAAATAACGTTGCAGAGGAGGTGCAGTTGTGGGCTGTAGAATGTCGGAAATGTAGTTGACTATAATGTCTCTGTCGTCGCAATTCAGGGATGTTGTGGAGGATGCGGCACTGGAACGTAGGACAGTGTTGAGGACGCGGACACAAATCGTTAGGTTAAGAAGTCGCTGGATAATCAGGGCTTCGTGTTGTTTCACGCAAGCAGAGACGACTTGTTCATAGTACAAAATATTGTAGCATTCAATAGACAGAAGGACGCATTCCCTTAAATGCGACATGTTATCTAGGGCCGAGGACCACCGATATGCAGTCGTTCCGTGAGAATTACAGAGAGAGCTGAACCAGCATAATTAGAATTAATCATAAAGACAGAAGTCCAGGACGCTATCGTCCGGCTATCTTTCAGGTTAAACCTGAATTTCTCCTGATTGTAATGTTGCAACAGTTATTTTCCTTGTTGATCGATGGGAAGTGTAGGTACGCCGTCAATTCGGAGGGACAAAAGTCTCAGACAGTCACGAAATATAAAAATTGCAAAAGTCATGTGGAAATCAGGAATTTATTTGGATTAGCTTAGTGCTGGATTCTTATATAAGAAATTAAACTGCGAGCAAATTACACGAAAATAGATTCGAGAAGCAGACGAATGAGGTTGCGTGCGCGCCAGAATTCCAAGTCACTGAAATGAGAAGAATTCGGATGCGCAGCATAGTAAATGATGTAGACGACGAGGTAGTAAAAGCGCAAGTTAAAGGAAAAATATGAAAAGATGTAGATTACCACTCTTTTAAACAGAAAATCATTGCGCCTCCAAGCTCTGAATTATCTAAAAGTTGACAGGAAGAAAATCAGGATATTTGACTCTGCGTGTAAATAGCCCTTTCAGAAAAATTTTCATAGGTCTGCGTGTGATCTACTGGGTAGTCCAATTGCATCTAACTGTGGACTTTGCGAAGTGGGAAAATGAAATCTATGGCAATACATCATAAGAAGAAGAATTAGTGCTACGGATCAAACTTCCCCCCCTATATACTTTCGTCCTAGGTTACGCAGACTGCCCCGTCGGTTTCATCTGAAACACGAAGTTTCAGTTCTGCCTTTGATACGTTGCATTTACGAGCGGGCTAAGAGGCTATCAGAAGCAAATAACTAGCCGGAATGATAACCTATGGCGAAAAATGCTCGTCAAACGTCGTAAATTTTTTTCTCACAAATGAGTAGTTGTATGGAACCACAAAATCCCATACTTTGAGAAGCACTCTAAAAGCCTATCGCATACGCCAAACTGATCGCTGGCAGTTCAAATGCCTTCCTGTCCAAAACGTTTAATGACTATTCGACCGCTTCACTTCCTAACCTATAAATATAGACCGGCGCCGGTCTGAGGCGCCGCCACAGTCACTGGATGATTTCTTGAAGCTCATAGTATTGGACCAAATAGTGTTGCAAACAGTTATTTAAATGCGGACGCAGGTGAGGTGTTTCCTTCCCACATGTGCGGGATATCTAATCTCGCTCTCGAAAGTGAGACCTATTCCAGTTTGTACAAGGACTCATGCCTTGTACATATTCCCAAGCACGGCCAGTCTACGTCAGCTGACGACTTTCGGCCAGTAAACTTCCCCCCCAGCAATTTCGAAAATCTTAGAGGCCTTAATCTAAGATGAGGTAACGTCTCACTCAACATGAGATCCGCAAAGCTCGGTCTTGTGACGCCTGCCAGCCTCCCTTTTGGTAATCATGTTGCACAATCTGCAAACAATGGTTTCGCCGCCTGAACAGTCATCATCAGCCCCAAGTGTGCACTGATGGAGACGACATTAATGTGAACGGAACTGTTGAGGATCTACGAATGCAAAACTCCAGGAGCCCCAGTCTTTCAGTTTTCCTGCCTGACTGGCCTCAAGGCAGACAAAACGCCTGGATTTCCCCCATGGAAATTTGAAACTAGCTATCTTGGCACCCGCCTGATCTAGAATGCTATACGTTTTTATTTAGCCTTCTGCGCACTGGTGAGCGACAGAAAGTGGAACTTGTCCAGCCTTTTGTTACCAGAAGTACTTTGATCGCGGCACGCCCCATTGCGACACATCGAGAACGTTGTGGACTCCCAGATCTAGGTGCTTTGTGGCTTCGCCGATTACAAAAGGAACTCCAGGTTGTCATTCAAGTTTCTAAACTGTCACACGTTCAATGTCCCCACTACTTTGCAACATTTTGACCGCTGTGGGCTCAACAGTTCACTTGGGGTCATTTTATCTCTTCCTGAATTACTTACAGTTAAATATAGTAATTTCATTTCTGCCAACCGAAATGCAATCTAGAGTAATTTCCGCAGGCCTATGGCCATTTCGCAAAATAGCCCTTAGTAACATGAACTTTTACTCGCTTTCATCGGTCAGAACAACCTCCACAAGTTCTGCGTACAGTATTCACCGAAATCATTTCCCGTAGTGATGGCATTCCCTGTCTGGTGTCATTTCGAGATGCTGACTCTGCAATCCGCCGTGTAGCGAGTAAATTCTTCATCTGGCGGTGAGCATCTGTTTATCTATGCGGCCTTGTCTGATGCTGTGTCCAGATTCCAAGAAACGAAGTCAAGAATAAAAACACCCGTCGCACGAATGCCTTCAAGCCAAAAACGTTTTTGATCTGGACCACCGTAATTTCTGGGACCGCAGATTGTTCTCCCAGTAGACAATAAACCTGTTAGCAATACAGTAGATGGACTTAATCATGAAATATCAACCAAAATTCCTAAATGCGGTTTCGTTGTTAAACCGATCATTGTGCAGAATAATTCTATAGTACTTTAGTTAACTCAGGACGTTGGCTTTCGAAGTCGGCTACCAGGATGGTCGCTTAAGTAAGCGCTGATGAGGAAAAGAATATCGTTAAGGAAGCGCAGTAACATACCGAGGAGATCCTCTTGAGGTAATACCACACTTCCTCCAACTAAAACATGATAGTCAGAATAAAATTCGGGGAAAAACAACAAAAGGCAAGAATTAAGTAACGTCAACACGGATACGTACCCAATAAGCACGCTCGTCTGAAAAATAGGAAAGGAGGAGAAAAGGCATGAAAAACACGACAAAAAAGCCGAAAAAACTACAAAGAATAAAGCAAAACGCGGGGAAGGTAAAAAAAAGCAGGGCCACAAAGAACCGCAGAAGAAGGCGGGCTGACAGGGCAAATGCTGTCCTCTTCGCTATTCAAATGACTTTAATGCTCAAAGAGCTATTTGGAAAAGTGTATGGAGCATTTGTTCATTCAAAAATTGGAATATGGAATCCAAGCATGGCGACTCTGGCTGAAAAAGACTATTAGTTGCCGGAACGAGTTCAGAGGAGAGCGACCAAAATTGTGAAAGGCCTCAGGACTTTATCTTCCCGCTGTAGACTTGATGAGCATAAGCTATTTCCTCTTGAGTACAGGCAGATCCGAGGAGATCTCAAGCAGACCTAACGGATCGTAAGGAATCGAGACTGTGCCATTCGCTACATTGATTTCTCCACCTTGACTTCAAAAGCAAACCTGAGCTGGAACTTTCTTAAACATCAGGGAACCAGATCCCACATGGATGTTCGCGTTTTCACAGCGAATCGCCAGTGCCCGAAACGAGTTTCCAGAGGAAGTGATAATGGCGGACGTCGCAGGGATATTAAGACAAAGACTTCGTGTATATTTCCTTGAAGAATACCGCTTAAATCGACAGAATAGTACTGTTATACCAAATCAAATATTTGCACATATCACCCGCTAATGGGATGATTGATGATTCGCTGTATCGTTGTCCTCTAAGATTGGGCGTTATCAGGCTACAGCTACAAAATTCCAAGACGCATATTCGCCGTATTCAGCAACAAGTTTAAATGACGGTTGAATTTGAATGTAGAAGGTTAAAGAGGATAATTAAAGTACTGGAATAGCGAGAATATAGAATCAAATACATAGTGAAGTAAACTAAAATGTAGTAAAAATAAAGAAAAAGGAAGGGTTAATGCTAAAAATAGTAACTGAAAAAAATAAGCAGAAGGAAATAATGAATTGCACACGAAAAATGCAATCACAGGACACAAACTGATTGATAGAAAAGTTCACACATAGAGCAAAAAATAAATATATCCACACGCGTGCGTGTCAGTCTGAAGAAAGAAAACACCTGAGGAAATTCAAAATAACCGGGGCATTCTTCCAGCTGCAAAAAAAGCAAGCTAACATTCCGTACTCCGACAAGTATATTAACTGCCTGCTTCATGTTCTCTGCGCTTCGTTTGGCGCATATGCATACTTAGCAATTTCGCCGTAATGACAGGGCCATTGCTTACATGATTCAAGAGTTTCCGGCATCTCGGAGAACTGGCCTTGAAATAATCATTATTCAGCATATTTCTATAATTGTCCAAGTACCTCAGGATGCCGGCTTTCGAACGAACTCCTTCCGGGATGCATGCAAAAAGTAAACTTTGTAAAAAATGACTTCTTGCTTAGCACGCATTTTCTTATCGATTTTCGATGCCCTTAAAAATTCAATTGTAAGTCTTGGAAGACATACATAAAACGTATTCATTATTTTGCTCATTCGGTAGAAATCACGTCTTCTTCCAATGGTATACTCGAAGGGAGGGCCCAATTCGGCCGTGATATGCCTTTTCATAAAACTTCACGCCTTTACATTTACCAGTGTGGCTTGTACAGTTAACAATTTGGCTCAAATCTACTGCTAAATTATATGAACTCCATATAGTCTCCTCTTAATACCGTAGAGATATGCATGGTTTTCCGCACACGGAAGATATACGGCTTGTAGTTTGGCAACCCTGGAAGTAAATATAACTGCAGATCGGGTTCAAAATTATCCGCGAATTCGAAACGTGTTGAAAACCGAATTATAGCTATTCTCCAAAAATGAGATTGGAAGAAGACGTAATATTTAACTGAATGAGCAAAAGTATGAATATTTTTATGCATGTGTTCTATGAAATATAATAGAATGTCTAAGGGCTTCTAAAATCGATGAGAAAATGCATGCTACTCAAGCCGTTCTTTCTTACACAGTATAGACTTTTCATGCAACAGAAAAGGAGTTCTTTCGAAGGCAGGCAACCTTAGGTGATTTAATTATCATAGAATTATGTTGCATATTGAGTGGTTTTACAACACTACTTAATTAAACCGCATTCCAGAATTTCAGTTGATATTTCATGAGTTAGCACATCTACTGTAACTGTGCGTGGTCAGATGTTCGTTAACGGTTGTTAGGGTGTGGGAACAAGTCAATGATCGTATACGTAGTCCCTCGTATTGAGAGTCTAGAAGGACGTGCCGGTTGCTGCTGGTTGTGCCAGAATGTCATGCTTCGAGGAATTCTCGAGCCTAACTGGTGTTACCCACTGCCATCACTTCAGCACCGCTGCAATTGAAACGTTGGTCATACTAAAGGGCGTGAGCAAACACGAGACACAAGGGGGGCTCGCGACTGAGGAGGGATAACATCTGCTCGCTAATGCGAGTCGGCCTGTATGGTCAATATAAACACAAGTGTACTTGGCGCACGGTATGCAGTAGATGGGCTCAGTTATTTCGGATTGGTGGAGTGGATTGAGTATAGCGAGACATGACGCAATGACGAGAATGTGCTCACCAGGAAATTTTCCTGGAGGTGGAGTTGTCGTGATGGTCGAAAGGATTTCGCCAGAATGGCCTACGGAGAATGCAAAAGACGAGGAGAGGAAGTAAGACAAGTAGTGCAGCAAGTGTGTCAAATGGTGAGGACGCCATCGTAGAGTCCTGCATAAGATAACACAGGAAATAAAATTGCGGAAATCGAATGAATTGGTGTAGCGCAATAAATAGCAACGAACTAGAGTAATAAGAGGCTTAAGAAGAGTGCGTTAAAACAAATCCAAAAGGGGCATTTGAAAACAACTACGAAGTCCTGCCTGTTTGCAGATCATAGCGAATAGCGAGAGAGGAATGGCGTAGGAAAATACGCTTACTAGGCGAAGATGGCTTTGGGGTCCACGAAGATTCGCCTTTAACCTCGGTTACGCTTTCTGCAAGCAGAATGCAGGGAGACGATCATGGGGATTGCTGTCTGCCTCCCAACGTGCTGTGCTACACACAAATCTCACAGACCCTAATGTAATTGCCGTCCACACCTCCATTCTCATAATAATAATAATACAAATGATATATTATAATAATATATATTATATTGCATGTGACTGATACCGTCAGATCACTAAGCCCATATGGATGTGTTCTCTCATTTGCTGACTACTCTTAAATATTCTGCAATTTGCATTGCCTCTGCCTTTTGCCCTTTCCTCGGTCTACAGTCTTTAATACTTTTATGTATTTTATCTTATTTTCTCACAGAGATTCAGCAATTTGCATCGTTTCTTCTTCTTGCTCATTTGTCCTCCGTCTACTTTCTTCCTTCAGTTTTTCCCTAGCCTATGCCATTTTTTCCATTCCTTGTTATGTCATGATTTTGCCGTTGTTTCCTTTTACCTCCTATTTTTAATAATTATCTTCGTTGTCTTTGCTTACTTTTCATTGGTTCTGTTCCTGGTGGAGGTGTTTCGGTATGCGGCGGCAAGGTAGCTGTAACATAGAAATGGAAATATTTGTTCTATTTCTCTGCTTCCCGGTTTTAATATGCTAACTGCTCGTTAGCTTTGCACTTTTTTTCATATTTTACTGCTTCACATATTGTATTTGTTTTTATTGCAATGTGTGCATCCATGCGCATTAATCCCTGCAAAATTTTATGCTCATTTACTTTTATTTTTTCTGTTTTCATTCTCTTTGACTCATTCGTCCCCTTTTCTGTTATGCGTTTTTCCGTCTTTGTGGTCTTTAAAAAGTTCATTTCGTAATATTCTGAAGTAAATAGATTTACTGAAGTCGTTTGTGTCAATCCTGGCATTAACTAAAAATATCCGCATGGAACCCATCTTTTCGGCCTGACTAACTTATCTTTGTACTTAATTGACATTTTTTCCATGTGTCCCAGTGTGCTCCGATTGGTACTTTTCATTTGCCGTTTGTTCTGCTATTGCAAACCACATTACTCTATTTTTACGTTCCCCTTTCTGAACTTTTCCGATTTTAATCACAAATTGGACCACTATTTTTTTCTGCTAAATTCGCTATTGCGTGTCGACTTTCATGCCAAAACAATTTGATTGCGCCATCATTGCTTTGAGGTTTGGAGTTTGCAGGTTGCACAGATGTGGCTTGCTTACTTTGAGCTGTATTTCTCAGTCATCTGTTTATTCAACCATTTTCTACCGCTCCTGATTTTAACATTTGCAATTACAGTGGAGCGGTTAAACGGTCGTCTGTGCGTGATAAGATAAACCATTCTGCTTTTATGCAACCAGTTTCTGTGAGCGAATACTGCATTTTGAAGGCATCAGATTACTTTATATACCGGTTAGTGTAGTATCCAGCGTGGAACATTAAAAATGTGCAGGCATGTTTTTTTATCGGGACACTTACTTCTGTGTTCTTAATTAAATGACGGGTCTTAATCTTATGACCTCCAGTGAGGTGAGGTTTAATGGAGCACTTACAAGTGTGAATTAGTCTTACTCAAGCGAGAGGACTGACGAAAGGCAGTGTGTTAAGGTCAATGGTCAATTGTTCATACGACAAGCACACTCTGACTGACAATGGATTTCGACTTTTCGTTCGAAAATATGTCAAACATATGTTTAGGTTTGTTCATGAAAAAACCAGCGGTAGATGGTGAGCAGGTACTTACCGTGGGTGATTATTTGCAACCGGCAGTCAATAGAGCATAATTTAATACTATGAGCCTTAATAATTGAACCTACGCACAATAGATGACTTTGCTTGTGTGCACACTAATCAGTCCATGAAGAACCACTTATTTTAACCGGGAGGTTTGACTTCATTTGACAGTATTACTCATTTACCATAAGAGACGCACTTATTGAATGTGAGCAGAAGCCAACTCGTATCAGCAGTGAGGCATTAAATATTATAGTCACGAACTGGCTGTGATGGAAACAATATTGACGGACTTAAATACGTGCTAGGGGTAAATGTGCTAAAACTTCAAACATGCTTTCTGCACTTGCACTACCTGCTTCGTCAAGAGCCAATGTTATGTCTCAAAAATTAAGGCAAATACACCTAAGATTCCCTGGCGACTTTCTAAATAATAGTGAATTAAGTAAGTACAATAGGTTAAATAAAACCTATTTACTCATCTCAATTAGGTGTCAACGTAAACCTGTTGTATGTCTAAATATGTAGTCTTCAGTCTGTCGCGGACATAAATACAGGTCAAGATATTGTCTTATTTGTCCCGTTGAAAATAACACGGATAAGCTTACACCAACGGTGAGCTGATCGCGCTTCAATGACGTCTAAAAGGAGGAGGAAAAAAGCGAGTTGTCATTCCTTTAATTTAAACCCAGTTGCGTCAATTTTAAATTTGTCTCTCTGGAAGTTTCATCGACGACAGAATCTGTCTTTACGGACGATCGATTAAAAACACTGTAAAGCATGAAGTATTTAACGATGTACCAAGGCAAAATTGAAATTCGACGTAATCCAGAAAAACGAAAATAGGAAGCTAGTTTTACAGAACTGATTGTCTCTTTATATACACCTAAAGATTTGTTTACTATTAAATCTGTCAAACCTACTTTAATCTATTAGTCAGCGACCGACCTGGCAATATGTGACCTTATAAAACTCTTATTCCTATGGCGTCCTTGTCGGCGAAATCGAGCAGAGTCCTGTCTGCCTTATTGAGCTGTACCTTAATCAATTAAAAAGCGTGGAAAATACAGCGAATTCGCAGGAGATCAATTCGGAATTTATACTCCGAATGGAGGCCGTTGGGAAACTGTCGTACCTGATAATACACTAATTCGTAAAGGATATTTTAATGTGAAGTGCACTGAAAGACCATGTTCAAACATTATTCTTTTTGTGCTGTCCGTCTTTTAACAGTTCCTTTCAAAATTAAATTTACTAAACTGCAACCATTTATGACGTTCTCGGAAGTTTCCGCTTTGCGAAGAAAATTCGTATTACTACACATTGCAGTATTGCCTATAATATTTCAATTGTATTTTCGGTTCTATTAAATAAGCCCCTTATTACTGTCGATATTAAATCCATGCATTGGTGATGGCTGCAACTAATTAGCAATCACTCGTAAATTCGACACCTTTCATCCCTTAGGTGGCATACCGTACCTTCTTGGCTTCAAGCAGCTCCTTATTATCAGGACTGCAGTAAAGGCCTTAGGATCACTTGTGAGCTTAAAAAATCGTAGAGCTCAATGTCATCAAGCATGTAAGCGGATTTTAGAGATACTTTCTTGATACCGGACTATGTCTGATCTACAAAACTGCACAGACATATGCCAGCATCTGCAATTCTTACAGGTTTTTGAAGACGCTTTAAATCACTGAAAGCCATCTGTGTCGCTCAAGTGTCTTGCCCGTATCATAAGTACCCACCCTGTTGTCGCTGTTTCCGGAGGTATGTCTATTTTACAGTAGATGTTCTAACGCATGAAATGTCAACCAACATTTGGAAATGCGTTCTCATTTCGAAAAGATAAATTAAGTTTTGTTGTAAAACTAATCCTGATGCAGCATAAATCTATAATGACACAGTTACCGAGAGGGTGTTGCCTTTCGAAAGAACTTATTTTCGGCTGCGTTTAAGGTCTATACTTTGCAAAAAATGACCGCTTAAATAGCATGCAATTTTCTCATTGATTTTCGCTGCTCTTAAAAATTCAATTATGTTTCATGAAAAACATACATAAAAGTGTTCATTCTTTTAATTATTCGGTAGAAAATCACGTCTTCTTCCAAGTCCATAGTCAAAAAAGAGTAAAACTTGGTTTTAAAATGTTTCTAATTGTGAGATTTTTTAATACCGTTAAATGGCTGTTCATGAAACGTCATGCATCTGAATTTGCGAATGTGGCTTGTAAAGTTAACAATATTGCTCAAATCTACTGCTAATTTTATGAAAATCATATGGCCTCCTCTTAACACCATAGAGCAATGCATGGTTTTCCGTGCACGGAAAATAAACAGCTTGTAGTTTTGAAACCCTGAATGCAATGGAAGAAGACGTGATTTTCTACCGAATAAGTAAAACAATGAATATTTTTATGCATGTTTTCCATGAAATATAATTGTATTTTCAGGGGCATCGAAAATCAATGAGAAAATTGCACACTAATTGAGTAGTCATTTTTGGCAGAGTATAGATCTAGCATACAGCCGAAACTAAGTTCTTTCAAAAGCCGATACCCTGCGGTAACTGGATCATTATAGGCTTAAGCTGCAGTATGATTAGTTTTACAACACTACTTTATTTATCTTTTCGAAACGAGAACGCATTTCGAAATGTTGGTTGACATTTCATGAGTTAGCACACCTACTGTAGAGACTGTAATGTGCTAAATATTGTGGTTAAGTTGCTTTTCCATTTTTAATTGTGTCGCAGTGTTCTGATGCTGCTATTTTGCCGCCAGACACATACAATGGCGAAAACTGAGTAAATAATACTGCGTTCAAATTTCGTACGATAAACATACTGCCACGAGTCATACGCTAAAATTATGAGTAAAAACGGTTTCCCATAACCTGATTTTAGCTGCACTTTTTCAAGTCACCGATGCTACACAAGGGTGGGAAAATAACAGCCTCCGATTCAGCTAAAGCTAAAAACCTTTAATGGTATTAAAATTTGTGAGTCTGTAAAGTTAGAAAGGAATCGGTGATCCTGGTGTTGTACAATAGCTCGCCAGCAAATGCAACCAGATAAATTATGCATATCTTTCTAAAAACCTATTAATCACCCCTTGTGTTCTGCGTGAGTATTCTCTTTGGTACAAGCATGGAACATCGAGCAATTTTGATCAATTCGAAGGACTGACCTACCATCCATTTGTGATCTCACATAAACAAATATAAGTATGATAAGTTAGTTGCCCTTAATCAGAATCTGATTCCCATCCATTAATGACTCTTTTCATTGAGGATATTCATAATCCCTCGCCACCCAAGAGATGTAAAAATACTAGCACGAAGAGAGTCTAACAAACTGTACAGAAAACTTACTGGCTATTTCCGGACATAAGATAATTCAGCATCATAATTTTAAGGCAGATAGTAAATACGAAAAATTTGTTTAGAACAGTGTGAGAAGCCGGTTGCAGTCATACGTAGGCGCTTACTATTTAAACCTAAAAAAAACCAACTTATACCGGCGCATATGAGCAAATAATCACCAACTTACAGAAAAGCAGAAGAACCAAAATCGCGTGTTTCATTCTGTTGGCTTCGTGAGATCTGAGAGCTAGAATGCTGCGCAGCGATTTATAGATGTAAGTCTTTCAGATTTGAAGGTCATTGCTGTCAGTGGAAATCCATTAAATTAAATTTGATTAATCAGGCGCAGACAGGCACCTGTCTGCAAAACAACAGCTATTGGGTCCATCCAGAAAGAATACGTTACTTGAGAATGGCAGCGTATTCTTGTTGAAATTTGCCGGACCATTCTTTGAAGTTTTACACCAGAAGCCGCATAGAGGAGGCTCGAGGGCCCTCCAAGAAGGGGGGGGGGGGTGGAAGACCGTCAGACTTGTGGCGTGCGTGTGATTCATCCACTTACGTGCAAAGTATGGAAGGTAGGGGGGTTCTTCATGTGAATTCCTTTCAACCACACCCAATCTAACCGCATGTGCTGCAGTTAATTGCATAATCACCATATTGCAGTTTTTCTATGGAGCTGTCACGGTGAGTTCAGTGGTCGGAAGTGACATTTACTGTTAAACAGGCAAGATATTCTTAAAACCTAACTGATGCCTGTGATCTCCTCCAGAATTGTGCTTGGGTACTAGCACAAGTCTGCCCGCGGGAACTATGCGCAACATCCCAGAAGGTCACTTGAAGACCATTTGCCCAGGAATTCAGACCATGGTGTTCAGGAGAGTGATCTCGGCTGAACTGGTCGCGGTCTGAATACGTTAGCGCACTTCCAAGTCTTCAAACACTGGTGTTTCTCTTTCAGACTGAAGAGTACAATGCCCCTCATTACTTGGCAAAAAAAGTTTTGAAAAAGCACGATAGCAGACGCAGGTTTCCAGCAATTCATCATCATGCCCATACAGTTAAATATAACTTAAAAGTAAGAGAAGTTTACAGGGTTTATATATACAGTAGGTGGGATAACTCACGAAATTTCAACTGAAATTCCGAAATGCGTTTTCGTCTTGAAAAGATTAACTAGGTAGGCTTGTAAGACCAATCATCATGCAGCGTGATTCTACAACAGTTCAAACTCAGCAATGTCGAAGCTGCCCGGGGGCGGGGGGTGCAGTAGTGCCTTAAACTGGAAGTGCAGGAAAGGATCGCTAATTGGCCATGGCGGTGTTTACAAGGCGTCACAGTTTTCAGCCGAACCCCTGCGACCAAATACAACCGGGCTGTTCATAAAGGCGTTGGGTGGATGGCAACACTGTCAATACGACTGATGCAATGGATGGAGTATCGGTTGTTACCCTAACTGCGCGTCGGTTGTCCTTTTGCACACGATCGCACCGGACTCTACTGGAGGTCTGGAGTAAAAAGACCCAAGGATGCAGGCAAACCGACGAAACAATTAATCTGATGCAGGTAATACTGTGCGTATATGCAACTAGAAGCATAATGGAAAGCATGATGAATTATAATCCGTTTAGGATAAATCTTTCGCCTTTTACTAAAGATTTACGTGTGGGTCTATACATACAGTCTTGCAGCGCCTTGTTCTCGGGGCGGTTAAAGTAAAGAAGAAAGTCATCCTAACAGGGCCTCTGTGCGTGCACCCCCCAGATATAATGAGAACGTTATCACAGATACCGAACTCAAGACAGTAGGTAAATTGTAGAATCAGTGGGCAGGGCTATCAACTACCATTCTGCCCAATTGAATTTCCAACGGCATCGAAAATCAATAAGAAAATATCTACTATTAAATGAAACATTTTATCAAAGTAGATTTTTTGCATGCAGCCGGGAAAAATTTCCTTTGAAAGCCAGCATCCTGAGGTCATTAACTTATTGTAGAATTCTCCTACGTGGTGATTAGTTTTGCAGAGCTACTTATTTAGTCTTTTCAAAACTAAAACGCGTTTCGGAATTTTGGCTGACATTTCATGAGTTGTCTGAGCTACTGTATCTCAGGTAGGTTATTAACACCAATCGTTTACACGTCATTCGCATGACGACGACATTGAGGCAAGTGGGTAAGTGAGGGAGGGCAGACATAAAACGCCTATTCACGTCACTGCAATGGCATGTAGGGCCCATTTGCAGGCAAAACGACCTGCTCTTATGATAAACAGCATGCGCATCTAGATCATCAGCAGACTAAGTTAGACAATAGTCCAACTATCGAAATGTTACATGAGAGTTGATAAGAAGCATGTGATCAGCCATCTCGGCAGAAACCGACTAACCTCCCAAAAACACTTTCGTTTCTATTCAATTTCTGATGACCAAACCCTGTGATGTGCACACAAAATGAAAAGGGCCTCCGGTTAGATTGCATTTGGTATCCAGGAATGGAGAGGCAGACGGCCGGGTCCCTGTCTTGACGGAATGGTGGGAAAGGGGATTATATGGGTGGGGGAGAGAGAGAGGAATGCTTTATTTTGATAATAACTTTCAAAACCTTCAGCAAAAACGGTTCTCCTGTACACAGTGATTACCATAGAGATTAACAGGTATTGGACAGGTGGACATGATTATATATGAAGAAAAAAGGACTTTAAGGTGCAAGATCGAGTTTTAGTTTTTGTTTTTCAACATCTTTGCAGGTGAGGTACCGGGCTAGAAATGGCAGTATGGAATTCCGATAGGCCAAAGTGCGGTAAGGGATGTGGCGGAAGCATCGACGCATGGGGCGTAAGGATTTCGCAGCCATTAACTCATTATGAAGGGAATAGATGGTGTCATTCAGAATTCGGTCCGCGAATCGCTCCACCGATTTGAAGTGTCGCTGCACGATGATATCAACTAAAATATGATCGGAAACACCAGCAGCAGAGGCGAGCATTCGAATTGCACGTTTAAAAATAATTAGATCTTTTTTAAGTAAGGCTGGAAAAATAACTGGAGAACAATAAAGAATGAGTGGAAGAATACAGCCATCTATGAATAGCCAGATTAAGGACTGGGGTGTGTGATATGAACGTAGACGACGAATGTAATAAATAAGTTTTTGAATTTTTGTTAAAAAGGTTTCCATATGAAGAGAGAAAGAGAGATTTGAGGATAAAGTAACACCTAGGTACCGGAAAGAAGAAACCTCATTGGGAAGAATATCCAAAGGTTCAGGAATGGGAGAGGGTCGCAATCGAAACACACACTGTACTGATTTCTGATTGTTGAGTAGGAGTCCATTATTCGAAGACCATGCGGAGACGTGATCTAAGCCATCCTTTAAAGACTGCAAATGAGTCAGGTTTTTGAGTGGGTGGCCTACGACCATGTCATCGGCATACTTAACATACAGGCAGTCGTTTGGCGATCTCAAATCATCAGTATTTAGGGAGAAAAGACGAGGGGATAAGATGGAACCTCGTAGAACTCCACAATTATTTGGAAGCATAGAAGATTTTCTCTTTCCCGACTGGACAAACTGAGTGCGGGAAAAAAATAATCTCTAAGCCAAGAGACAACCCAGCTCGGAGTGTCACACGCAGCTGCTTTGGTCAGGAGGAGTTGGCGCGGAATAGTGTTGAAGGCGGATGAGTAATTGAGAAAAGCACATGCATATGCACGGCATCCCTTGTCTAAGTCTCTCAAAGCTGAATGAACAACTAAAGCAACAGCATCCAAGGTGCTACGCTTTGCCTTGTATGCAAATTGTAGAGGATCAGAAAAATTGACGGAGGAGTACTGAAGGGAATCTAATGCAATGCGTTCAGTAAGTTTCAGGAGTGCAGAAGAGCAGGTAATAGGACGTAAAGATTTAGGAGCAAAAGTTAAAGATATTTTAGGGATTGGATTAATTCTTACTGTACGCCAGGCTTCAGGAATCTTGGACTCTATGAAGGATAGATTTATAAGTTGGGTCAAGACGGGAGCTATCTGCAAACAGCAAGACTTAATGAGAAAAGGAGAGACACCGTCCGGCCCAGCCGCCGTTGACCCGCGAATCTTTTTGAGATGTTGTTCCACTGTTGTCACAGTCATAGGAGCAAAGTCACATGGTGATAAGTAAATTTCGTTTGGGCGAGAAGGGGAGTCGTTAGAAGAACAGATAAAATTCCGATTTAAAGAGTTTAAATCTACGTCAATGGGTTCAAGTATATTACGTTGACCAGTGAGACGCCTAAGATTCCTCCACAGTTCAGCAGAAGGAAAAGGAGAGGAGGGGGTGGATCAAGTAGAAAAAAGTTGACTAACGGAAAAACCGTTAAGTCTGGCAATTTTGTTCTTTATTAAAACATTGATATTCTTCACCTTGTCACGCTGACCTAGCTTGTGGAGGGCTTCCTTGCGACGTCTCAAGTGTTTGAGGTATGGTGAGGAGATTCTGTCAGGCCTGACCATAACAGTTTCACGGGGACAACAAATATAAAAAATGTGATTCAAAAATAGCGTAAGATAATTAGAGCATAATTCAGCATTTTGTAGTGCTATAAAAGTTGGGATAGTACTAGTTATTGAACTCTGCAGTAAGTGGATCTTATCTACGAATGTGTCTGGAACAGTAATTTTCCCATCGGGTTTTGTAAGCAGTTGACGCTTAGAGGTGGAATAGACTTTTGGAAGTCCTAGTAGCACTGAGTGATCAGACCCGGAGAGTAGAGCTCTATTTTTAATACAAAAAAGCTTTGGGTAATTGGTCAAGATGTGATCA